CACACAGGTATATGGCCATGAACAGGTAGTGGTATCGTCCGAACAATTGTCCCGCAAACTTGGCAAGCGGACGGCCTTTCAAGTGCGACACCGACAAGCAACTGCCTGCTACCAGGAGAATGACCGCCAGGGCAATCCAAGCTTTCATCATCGCGTCGTGAATGACGTCGTCAGGGAATGTGCTCAGTAGAGGATACCATTCACTGTTAGGCCCATACTTGAAGGCGACGCACAAAAACGTAAAGATGAGCGTGCCAAAGATTTTGGCGACCACGCTGACAAGGCAATGCTTAATGCGAATGCGGATGCCTTGATCGAGGTCATGGGTCGACCCAAGCCTGTGGATTTGCTTTGGGAAAAGGCGGTGTAGGACGAAATCAACAGAGGTCTCGTAACGGTGAAAAAGCTCCAAGATCAAACACGCGATATCGAGGGCGATCCAGAACCCAAAGACTGCCCAATCGTGCATATCCGGAATGACAAGGAAGATGTACGCTTCAAATGCTATACAGAAGTAACGACATTTAGATCATCAAATCGCAGCATTTGGGGACGTGGACCGTCAGGCAGTACATACCACATTCAGTTAACAACTTCCCCAGAGCGGCGACATCCTCTGCGTTTGGGTGTCCGAGACTCTTGGCAACACCGTGTACCAGCTTTATTTGAACGCTTGTAAACACGAGGGTGAATGTCTTCACCACTGTAAGGACCAGGATCTGCGGACCAGTCTCGGCTGGTACACTGATGAATCCAAAGTAAAATGCGAAAAGTAAGAACCAGTAGAAGTTCAAGCATCCGGAGATGACGATTGACGAGGCAAATTTGCGCAAAAAGTTTGGCTGACTCTTGACGGATGCCGGGAGGCCGTACATATACACAATCAACGGAGGGACAACACAGTAGGCGAGCCCTCCACCGTAAATCGGTAGGAACGGTACAGGGAAGAGGCCTATCAACCCGAAAATGGCATATACGAAGACATCCCATAGTCCATATGCCAGAACCGGTGCCCAAGTCGTCCACGAGAACCATCGGATCTCGACTTGGAACATTTCCCGGATCCAAAATACCGTGACAAAAGCGATGGCAACATTGATCGGCAAACTAGTAACGGCGAATATCACACCAGATACTCGCGGACCTTTTGCGGCGTGCAGCTTTGCGTGCGGGATTAATGATGACCCAGTCCATAGTGCGATCGACAGGGAAATGGCGAGGATGTTGAAGGCGATTATATATTTTGCTGACCGCGTCGGCTGCTTGGTCCCTTTAGAGGCGGTTGGGACAACCCCGGAAAGTTTCTCATGGGCATAGTCCAGTTCCGCGGTATCTGCAGAATCCACCAGTTAATGATTTTCATTTCATACCCACATAAAATACAAGGAATACCTACGGGCAATTTTAGGAGAAACATCTTTCATGCTCGCTTTCTGGCTTCCATCTTCGAGTGCGGTCTGAACGGCCATCTATGAACGACTGTCCGAAGTCGCACTGCTGATTGCTGACAATGTGGGCGAGCATTTCGCCGTTCCATTATATGTATAGCGATGTTAACAACGCTGCTGAGCCTTTGTCCCGGAGCTTGAGTAGAGGAGCAAGTTCATCAAGGCGATTTTTGTGCGGGCGTGGATTCACCTAAGAATAGCGGTTCTTTCATTTAAAGCCCTCGTATTTCCACATCCAGAAGGGCGGCCCGTCTTAACCACGGAGATGGCGCGGAGCATATCTTGAATAACAATGGAAGGCGTCATTGAAAAAGCGCTATTTAGTCGTCCCACTTTTCAGCTGTTTCGCCTTTCACCCCGGTCCGTTGGGTGGTGCACCTCCCTTGAAGCGCCATTTTAATTTGCAAGTTGCAGACCTGTCCCATTGTTGACTTTGATCCGTAGGTCCGTGCATCCTCATTTTTAACGCTCCGCAAGAGAAGAACAACTAGCTCGCGGTCTTGAATGAAGGGCATTGAGGTAACCCGCAAATATTGACCCACGACCATTGAGTGATGGATCGTCTGATGAAAATTCACGATCCTCCGGCGTTCAAAGGTGGTAGAGTCCTCGGACACCTGCTGTCGCCAGCTGAATGCAACTTGCCAAAGACATGACATTGCGAGAACGACGCACAGAGCTCTACGACAAAGGGAGAAAGACGGACAAAGATCGGAGCAAGTAAGCGTGCCGGTGAATGAGCCAAGAACGACCACCGCTGTTCCCAGCGCAACCGCAATTTCAATCAAAACGATGGGAGTAACAAGATGATATCCAGTTTTTGGACGGAGCATGTTAACCTTTTCGAACGCATATCAAGCCCGACAGGTAAAACTTGTCCATTACGATTTACTATGTTACAGGAAATAGGATCTACAACAGCTTGGTCTTTGGCTTACTAGTCAGTCTCAAAAACACATATCCCATTGCAAACCACCAAAAAGCCAAGGCACCCATGATGGGAAGTGCCAGCCAGGGACTGCTAATGTCATCTAGTGCCTGTGTTTGTAACACTTCTTCGCCTCGCTGATAACATCCACCGTAACCTTCTTGGCAAGTGAGTGTTAAGCCTTGGAACTCGAATTGCATTAGCGCAGTGTATGCATCTATAAAATAATTCAAGTTAGGAATCATTCGCCACGCTAATCGTCGAGCACGCTCATTAAGCGTCAACTTACATCCAATAGGAGAGACGTAGTGTAACCACCTGAACCACCATCCCAGACTCTCATTGTTGATAACGTTTCCTCCAAACAAAAGAAACACCACCGCCAGCATCGGCGCAACGGCCATACTGAATTGCAAAGTCGGCGATACACTCGAAATCATCGTTCCCAAAGCACACGCAGTCAACACCTCCACTAGGCAAACCAGCAGCCATCCAAAAAACTTGCCAGCCACTGGTTGCAGTCCGATCATCCAGTACAGCGGGATGGACGCCAGCCCACTGTATATCACTGACGGAATACACACCGCGAGGACTTTCGCGACGTAGAATGTCGATACCCGGTACGATCCCGCTGATCGTTCTCGTAACATGATCGCGCGCTCAATAGGGAAGGTCAGAACAATTGGTTGAATAGTGATGAAAAATTGGTTGATGGGCCATAGAAACAGAATTCCAATTCGGTTTTGTACTCCGCGTTGATCGTTGTCGAGCTGAAAGAAGGAGAATCCCATGAGGAGGATCAATACGATCGTACGTCCGACTCCCGCAATAATCAACTGACGTGAGCGGGTGACGTCCAGCATAGATCGTCCAAAGAGGATGCTGAATTCTTTGAACCAATGGTTGCCCCATGTACTAAACCGGGGTTGCCCTGTTGCGTCCATGATTTCTAGAGGCTCGCCGCTATTTTTGACAGATTCCTTGCGCAACGGCATTCCAGGCTTCTCTTTATTGAGGTATGCATTTCGCAGTTTCTCCACTCGTGCCATATCTTCTTTTGCCGTATCTTCCGCGATCGTTAACAGATCCATGAAAAAGTCTGCTGGGTTCTTCTTTGGAGGAAGCGGGTACCCAAGCCCTTCGAAATGGTCAAGGGCAGCCTCTACCGAACCGTAATACGCAGTGTAGCCGGCCGCGAGAAGAACAACCCTGTCGAATAGGGAAAGTAGTTCAAATGACGGTTGATGTATAGTCACAACCACAATACGCCCGGTCTCCATCGCATCAGCTTTTACATTCCGCATCACAGCCAACGCAGAGTTGGAGTCCAAGCCGCTGGTAGGTTCATCAAGGAAGAGAATATCTGGGTTCCCGACAAGTTCTTGTCCAATTGCCGTCCGCTTGCGTTCACCACCACTCACACCACGTGTCAGTCCATCTCCAATGGGAGTATCCTTCGCCTTTGATAGACGTAGACTCTTCAAAATACTATCAGCATGCTCAATCTTTTGTGCTTCGGTATACTCTGACGAAGGAAGACGCAGCCGCGCCGCATATCGAATGGTTTCTTGTACAGTGAGGTTGGTGTACATTTGATCATCTTGCTCTACAAAGGCCATCATGCGCTTCCAGCTTTTTCGGTCACGGATGCGGCCGTTGAGAGTAATACTGCCTTCGAGGTAACCTACGCCCAATCGTCCACTTAGGCAGTTCAGCAGTGTCGTCTTACCAGCGCCTGGCATGAACGTTCCATGGTTAACGATTCGGTTGTGCAATGCGAGCAAGGAATATCAAATATGCGTACCTGATGAACCCATGATGGCGACCATCTCTCCACGTTTTGCCTCACCATTAATTCCTTTGAGAAGCGCTCTCCTGACAGGCTTGCCATCTTCGCCTTTATTCTTGGGAATGTCGATCGAGTAGTTCAAGTTACTCCAAACGAGAGAACCCGTCCGGCCACTCCGTTTCATAGGCTCCAGAGGTGTTTCAATATCGTCCGTTGGCATGATTGTTCCGCACTATGTTGCAGGGGAGCAAAATCGAATTGTAGAAGCTCTCCTGCCCTCTCCACTGCCCTGAAGGAACTCTCGGAGGGTCGTGCTTTTTTATATGTGCCAAAATCCCTCGTGTCGAACTAATATTTGTGATTCACCATTGAAATTTTCCAAATGACAACAATGGAATTACGTGTGATTAACAATCCCTGCAGCGGCCTTCTCAGCAAAAGAGCGGCCGTCAAGTTCGGCGTCAAGGGCTCTCATGCTCACAGCACAGAAGAATAATAACTTGGTGTGATGTCTCGCATTTGGGTTGAATTCACAGGCATCGTTTTTCGTCAGGCGATCGATTCATCAGACCCGATGTGTTCGCGTTTCGAGTTCCAAAAGATCGAACAGTCTTTGCGTTCTACACAGTTTTGACAATGTATGAAGACGGGCAAGCCATTCGGACATACAGGACGATATGCAGGAGGTCATTCCGTTGACCCATTCTGCTATGGACTAGCCTGACGGCTACCAGTAGGAGAACTCTCAGCCTGAACACCTCTCTGCTTCAAAAAAGCTTAAAAAATTGGAATCCGTTTTGATCTTTATCCATGGCTGAAAAACGTGGGAGGTATGGACACCATGGCGGAGTGGTCTAACGCGTAAGACTTGAAATCTTATGTCCTATGGACGCGCAGGTTCGAACCCTGCTGGTGTCGCAATGTTTTTGGCCCTTCTTTTCAAGCCCGCGAGTAGAGCCAGCATCTCGTGTTGAGCAGGGGCCAAAACAAGACCGAGATGTACGGGATGAGGAAATATTATTTAAGCAAAGGCAACGAACGAACGAATTCAATCCATTCCCTCCAAACAGTCCAATAAAGAATGAGACGGACGCCTTCCCAAAAAAAAAGAGACAGCACGCTATGGATATAACGAAGTCTGTTCGTCACACCGTCAGTTCTACCTTGACGACATCGTTCTTCATCGCTGATTCCGCTTGATGTTGCAACTCTTCGCCCGTAGTCAAGTCCATATGTTCATCATTTCCGTGCTGTTCCTGCTGGCCGCCATCAGAGATTTCTCCCAAACTCACTCTGCGCCCTTCCATTCTCAATTTTACGGCACAGCCAGTCTCTCCAGTGGCGCTCTTCAGATGTCTCCTGAGAGCGTCGCTTCGGGCAAAGGCTTTGTGGCAGGCTTGGCAGACAAAGGGTTTGAGGCCGTCGTGGAGTTTGGCGTGACGTTTGAGATCATGCTTTCGGGAAAACGTGGCAGGACAGTATGAGCACACAAAAGGACGCTCGCCTGTGTGAGAGCGATAGTGGGACTTGAGGTTATATGGGCGTGTGAATGCTGTGGGGCGAATAAAGCGATTAGAATCAACATCAAAGCAAACGACTTGGACGCAACCTGGTCACACGTACTTTTTCCGCATTCCGGGTAAGGGCACTGATAAAGGGTTTGACGATGCGTCTTTATCGCCATCTCACTCGGTTTGGGGAGCGGCGGGGCGTCTGGCCGAGGTGGGACAGGTGATCCACGTCGTTCTGGTGGTGGAGTTTTCGATCGCACACCGAGCAGCGAGTCATTCGACAGTGTCGTGGTGTGGCTAAAGCTGCTTGATCGTCGACGTTGTGGATCGTACGCAGCGTCTGCCGCCGGAGGAACATAAGCACCGTACATCCCTGATGGCGGAAGAAGCGACGGTGGATATGTGTTGCTGTTTTCCGGTGGAGTGACTTGGCCCGGTACAACCATACATGCACTGCTGTTATTGCTCTTCGCGTTTTGACCGTAAATGTTCTGTAAAGCATTGGTATTGTTGGACACGTTCATTTGTTCATACTGGTTAAATTCCGCCAGGAGGTCATCGAAGCTTACGTTGTTCGGATGTAACATCCCGTCCGCAGACGCTGCTATATTGGGCTGACCAAGCGATTCTGGAAGAGGTGCAAAGTATGGCTGCTGCTGTGCGCACTGTGAAAAGTCCGTATACTGGACAGCCGCGGCTGGGAGTTCGTTATTTTGTGGAGTAGGGTATGCGTATTGCTGTTGCGACGACGCCGATTGCTGGTCTGCAAGCGCTTGCTGTGGGAGCGGCGCAAAAGCGTTACTCATCGGCGCAATAGGAGATTGGGAGGGGTTGAGAAGCGGTGAAGCATGCGGTGAAGGTATGGCGTGGATCATTGGTGAAGTCAGCTGTACAATGTTGTGCATTCTAAATGAAACCAACGGTGGTTAGTATCCATTCTGTTGTTCCAACAGCGTATTTAGCAAATATGGCATCCAGTAGTTCCGGTCTGGATTATCAAGAGGAGGACGGAATTTTCCCGTTCGGTCATCCATACATACCCATAGTCAGCTGAGCCAGCGGATAGATATCCATCCTCAGACAGGGTATCGGCCAGAGTCAGATCTTCAAAACCCGTTAAGCTTCCACACGAGTTTCTTCGGCTCCTTGTACCTGGTACTTCCAAAAAGGGCGCACCCAGATTCACGCTGGTATTCAAGCCTTGATACACTCCACTCCCTAGGCTGCTCGCACTCAACACACTCTCACTATCGCTCTCCGCGCCCGACAGGAGGGACTCATTCTGCATGGTGTCGCGGTAGTATAAGTTATCATCGTTAACGGCGAGTTGAGGAACAGGGGAAAAGAGAAGCTGCGGGTGGAGAGACGATGCTGTGGTTGTGGTGTCTGATAGAAAGACTTGTGGAGGTGGTGAGTTTATGGACGTAGGATCCAAGAGGGCTTCAATAGCACGGTCCACATCTGAGAACGATTGCATGGATTCTGCAGCAGTCGCGGATGATGATGCTACTGTCCGTGGGGTTGGCGTGGTGTCTCCGGGCGTGGAGAGATGGAGGGAAGGGATAGTCAGTTGTTGATTTGCGGATGACCTATCTGACGAGTCGTGAGGCATATGAGGCATTCCTGGTATTCCTGCTGCTGCAGCAGTTGCAGTTTTGGTTGCTGTGGCGGGAGTAGTATGCGCAAGGGTCGCGGTAAAATAACTGTCCACAAATAACTGATTCCACTTTTGCTAACACTGCCGCTGGTTAGATAGAAAAGTGGTGAGAGTCCGTGAGCGTGTATCGGTGGGTGGTCGATGGTAACTGGCGGTGGTTGTGAGTAGTCGTCGTAGGTGGCATGCCCCCCTTTGGCAAAAGGAGGAAGCCCAGGAACGAGAGGGGGTATTTCTATGTGTCGGGAAGCCGCCTCCACCGGCCAACATCATGACATAATATCCATGACTGTGCCGTCGGCCTGCGCTCCACGTGACCGGCCTGACGTCGGAGGGAGCAAAAAGGGTCTTTTTGGCCGGTTCGCAAAAACCTTGTTCAATTTGTTGTGTCGTAATCAATAATAATAGTATCCATGACATGAACATGGATTTGATTGGAACCATGTGCACCGATAAAAAGAAAGGGTCGCTCGCCCGGTGCCTGGATTGGGACCTTTCTGCCGTGTTTATTCGGTTTTGGAGTCAGTGTTGGGAATGATGATGTCATTGACACATTCTGGTTATCGCCAGTTGGAGAGCGTTTATTGATTGGCATTTCGTTCTCCGCGGAGTGTCCCTGCGACGTTCCCACACGTAGCACTGCATTGGCAGCTTCTTCCTTCGTAGCGTACGCAGAACGAATTCGAACAAGGCTTTGGAACATTCTGGCAGAGTTCTGAACGTGATGGGTGACTGCCCGCACGTCCCTCTCGGAACTAGTCAGTCAGGATCACACGGCGGAAGTAATCTATGTGGTGGCATCCGAGAATCACATCAAATGTGAAGTATGGGCGCCAGTCATAGCACGCTTGTGACAGGATATTTGCAACTTCAGTGCCCGAGAGCTGCGTTTGCAAGGTAGGTCGTTTTCAATGTAGAATAGCCCCCGACACTCAGTCTTGGGCGACCTACCTTGCCAACGCAGCTGAGTGAGATACTTGTCTTCCTTATTGTATTTCTTCAGTGCGCTCAAAGGAATGAAGCTTGCATCTTTGGGCGATGCTCTGATTGCACGACAGAGCAGTTCGTAATATACGCACTACTTTTTTATGGTACGCCTTCATACGCACCTGATTGGCCAGGACATATTAAGCTATCTTGCATGCGCAGACTTTGAAACGGAAGTGTACGCCTTTCCGTTCGAATCATCAGCAGGTCTTCATGGTGGCTAAAGTCGCCTCTCCCCGGCATGCCTCTAATCCTTCATCGATTGCTGATATACTGGTAGCGATGGCTGCTGCCTACCGGGGCTATCAGGCTATCACGCTGAAGCAGAAGACCACTGAGAATCTATCTGGGACTGGGAGACGAGGATTTTCAGTGAGGTTGTCCATTCTGTCTTTGATGTCCGTCGAAAATTGCACTTGAAGGTTTGGAATGTGGAAAGCTGGTTGTTGATAGGGGAGATGAAACTTGGAGAAACCTATGACTCGCAAAGACATTCCAACAATCTACGCAGTTGCGAGGTAAACTGATGTCCATGTATCCGAGCTGTCGAACTTGAATCCTGCGCCGAAATGCAATGGCAAACGCAACGGGTGGATAGTGAGGTACTGTACACTGACGCAAGCATAATCCCAGAGCAGTTCATGCCGTTCCCGAATGCATTGATCCGCTGGCAAGTGATATATCACCGGCCTAATGACCTCGTCACATCCGGTTAATGTAAGAGTGGGCCTGAAGAAGCCGCATCTCGATAATACTAGCTTCGGTTGCGAGCGAGTAAACTCTAGTTTAGGTTCTGCGGATGGAACTGACTTTGCAAAGTTTTGATGGTGGGCGCAGGCAGGTATGCGTGAAATTCTTCAGCCGCTTGGTCCAGTGTTGGTGGATTGCCATTGTGACGGTACTGGGCGACATCAAACCAGCCGCCGAAGCTTTCTCGCCTTGAGCCGCTCACCACCAGGGCCATCAATGATTCTATCATGTATGAAATGCATATGCGTCTTCATTCCGTTTTACCCTTCCTGCGCAAGTAAAAAGTGTCGCGTAACTTCCAGGTTTCGTTTGACTTTCAGTGCGAAAAGCTATTACTGCTGGGACGAAGCACAATGATAAGATGATGGCAAGGGCATTAACCATCAGGAACTCGCCCCACCTCACTCGCCGGAGAGGTGGAGGTGCAGACGGCTCGACCAATTCCTCTTACTCTCCTTCGGCGGACACCAAGCACCTACCTAGCAGACCGCTAACACCTCGTGACGTTTACATTGCGGCTTTACGGTGTTGCTTAATATCGGTTCTGGACTCTACGGGAGATGCAAAAGCGCAACAACAAGTTAAAAACCATGGCAGAACCTCAGCGGAAGTGCACCGGCATGGATTAGCCTCCGCAGGACTGAGTTTTGCGGACAAAGCTGCCGGCAAACTTAAACTGCACGTTAGCGATGAAATGAGCGTTGAAGCAGATGGAACTATTAAGTTGGTGCTCTCGACCTTGAAGCGCTACAGGAAGATGCTAGTCGAGCGAACAAAAATGTTTGCGGGTGCAGGCAACGACTTGTTAATGGGCACGTTTGCTCAAGCCGCGTCGAAACTGTTACGGGAACGTTATACGGAGAGCTCCACCAGCATGGCATTCTTTGCGGACATGAGGGACCTCGTGCTTGTCATCGGCGCGTACATCGACAAAGAACTACCCGCACATCTCTCCGCCGAAGATCATGACAAATACTTGTTTCGGGTGATGGAATTGTTTATGGCGGTCTTGCGTG